TTGCCAATGACAGAGTACAATAACTTTGATGTCCTAGTGGCAAGTGGAGAAGTAATCAAGGGAGTGGGAGTGTGCAGTGTTTCTAGATTGTCAGGGAGTGAACATCCAAGTGAACTTGTTGGTAATGCCTATGGGAGGTAGCCAAATTGTGTTAGGGGCAGATTGGATGAAAACATTAGAAGACATTACCTTAAACGTTAAGAAATTGCAAGTGACATTCTTATGTGATGGAATTAAAAGAACCTTACAAGGAGTAATTCTAGGGGAAATGCAACTAGTTAATGAAAAGAGCATTGCCAAATCCTTCAGAGAACAGGAAGAAGGGTATTTGATTCAATTGTGTAGTGTGAGTTTACAGGAATCAACACTGAAAGGCCAAAGTGAAGAATTACCTGTAGAAATGCACAAACTGATACAAGAATTTGATGTTGCTTTCCAAGAATTACCTCACCTTCCTCCTACTAGGGAGATAGACCACAAGATTCCACTTGAAGCTGGAACTAAACCAGTTTGTATCAGACCCTACAGGCGTGTACACTTCCTGAAAGAGGAAATTGAAAAACAAATTGAAGAAATGTTAAAAAGGGGAATCATTAGACCTAGTAATAGTCACTTTTCTTCACCAGTAGTCATGGTAAAAAAGTAGATGGCAGTTGGAGAATGTGTATAGATTATAGATCCCTAAACAAAGCCACCATTAAAGACAAATTTCCTATTCTGGTTATAGATGAATTGCTAGATGAGCTTCATGGAACACAGTTCTTCATCAAATTGGATTTAAAATCTAGATATCATCAAATCAGAACGTATAAATCAGATATTCAAAAGACTGCTTTTAGAACCCATAGTGTACATTTTGAGTTTTTGGTTACGCCATTTGGTCTCACAAATGCTCCCTCGACATTTCAGGCTCTCATGAATACAATTTTCAAAAGTTTACTCAGGAGGTCTGTATTGGTTTTCTTTGATGACATTCTGCTATATAGCAAAGGGTGGCAAGATCATTTAATACACTTGAAACAGGTATTTCAGATTATGAAGAACTATCAATTAGTTGCCAAGATGTCCAAATGCAGTTTTGGACAAAAGCAAGTGGAATATTTGGGGCACATTGTGTCACAAGAAGGGGTTAGTATAGACCCCAATAAAATTCAGGCTATCATTGAATGGCCTTTACCTCAGTCACTCAAGGGGTTGAGAGGGTTCTTAGGCCTAACAGGGTATTATAGAAAATTTATCAAAGGATTTGGAACATTAGCTTAGCCCCTAACACATCTCTTGAAGAAGGGTAATTTTGCATGGAATACAAGTGCTAAAATTGCTTTTAAATCTTTGAAGCTGGCACTAACCAACTCTCCAGTTATAGCCATGTCTGACTTCAATATAACATTTGTGATAGAGTGTGATGCATCTGGGACTGGGATTGGGGTTGTGTTGATGCAAAGAGAAAATCCCATAGCTTATTTCACTTTTGCCTTGAAGGGAAAAAATGCTACACTATCAACTTATGAAAAGGAATTATTAGCTATAATTCTTTCTACTATGAGGTGGAAACAATATTTGCTTAGTAGAAGCTTTATGATAAGAACTGACCATCAAAGTCTTAAAATAATTTGGATCAAAGGATTCATACAGGAATTCAAAACAAGTGGCTTGCAAAACTACATGGCTATGATTACACTGTGGAATACAAGCCAGTAAAATTGAATAAGGCTGCAGATGGATTGTCTAGAATTTATGAGGATGAAGTGGAAATTTCATCTATTTCTACTGTCAGTAGTGATTGGTTGAAGGATATCAAAGACGTGTTCTAAGGATGTTTTCTTCAAAGAGCTTGATGGGAGACTACAGCAAGGACAACTGAGCACTGAGGAGTACTCCAGGAAGGAGGGTATTTACTACTATAAGGGCAAAATTTTAATTAATCCTAATGCCCAAGGTTTGAAGGCCTCCTTATTGAAAGAACATCATGATATTCCTTCTGTAGGACATTCTGGAATTACCAGAACATTATATAGATTGAGAAGAGTTTTCTATTGGAAAGGGATGGAAAAAGATGTTCAGTTACATGTCCAAGCTTGTGATATCTGTCAAAGAACCAAAGGATAGAATGTTGCATCCCCAGGTTTATTACAACCCTTGTCTATTCCGGAGTATATTTGGGAGGATTTATCAATAGATTTTATCACAAAATTGCCAAAGAGTGGAACCCAATGAGTGATATTTGTAGTGGTTGACAGGCTATCAAAATATGCTCATTTCTTTGCCTCAGCACATCCTTACACTGCTCGATCTGTAGCTCAGGTGTTCTTTGAAGGGGTATTCAAGCTTCATGGGATGCCTAAATCTATAGTTAGTGACATGGATCCTTTGTTTACCAGTTTATTCTGGAAGGAGCTATTCAAACTGCAGGGAAGCCAGCTCAAATTCAGCTCAACATATCATCCCCAAACTAATGGATAAACTGAAATAACTAATAAGAATTTGGAATGCTATATGAGGTATTTTTGTTGCCACAAGCCAAAGGAATGGTGTAAATGGTTACCACTTGCTGAGTTTTGGTATAACACCACTTGGAAGGTTTCTACAAACACTACACCATTTGAGGCAGTGTATGGCCGACCCCCTCCATCCTTGCTCTCTTATGTCCCCAAGAGTTGTAAAGTGGAATCAGTGGATGAAGCTTTTTTCCCAGAGATATTGCTTTATAGTTTCTAAAGGATAGCTTGAAGAAAGCAGCAGAACAAATGAGGAGGTTTGCTGATAAGCATAGAAGCCACAGGAGCTTTGATGTTGGGGATTGAGTATTTCTTAAGCTTCAACTTTACCGGCAACTAAGTGTCTCTTCTTACAAAACTCATAAGCTTTCTCCTAAATATTATGGACCTTACCAGGTTTTGAAAAAAATTGGTGAAGTTGCTTACAAGTTGGCCCTTCCAACCCATGCTCAGATTCATCCAGTTTTTCATGTTTCCCAACTTAAAAGGAGGATAGGTTCTGATGTTATCCTTCAAAATGATTTTCCTAGTTATGTTACAGAATTAGTTGATGAACCAGAGGAGATCTTAGATAGGCGATCAGTTGCCCAAGGGAATAGATTGATATTGCAAGTTCTAATCAAATGGAAGGGCGGTCTCCTTTGGATTCTACTTGGGAACCTTACTGAGATCTCGTCAAAAGATTTCCTACATTTGACCTTGAGATAAGGTCCAATTTAAGGGGAAGGGAATTATCAGGAATGGGAGGAGATCAATTTGAGAACATGTCAAGTGAGCTCGAGAAACTGTCAAGTGAGCTGAAGCCCGGGAACCTGACGGTTGAGCTGGAGAACATGGACGCTAGAGGAGGACTAGACTGATACACAAGACTTGGGGGGCTGTTATGCAAATCTTTTTAATACGGAGTCATTCTAATAAATGCTCAAAAGTATGTTACAAACAGTTTAACTGTTTCTGTTTGTTTTGTTAAATTGATGCACGTTTTTGTTCTTTGCTTTGGAGCGGGTTTGTATAAAGGAGATGTAAACTGAATGGGATATGAAAAAAATAGAATTGTTCTCTTCTTCACAAACTCAATCTCAGTTCTCAATTCTCTCTCAATCCTCTCTCTCCATTCTCTGTCTCGTAACTCTTCTTGAGGTCGTTTCAGCCTCATCATGGCCAGAAACAAAGCAAAGAGGCTCAATAGGGGATCGAGAGCCTCTCAAGAATATCAAATTCTTACAAAATTTTCATATAAACTGTATCTTAGTTTTGTTTATGGATTTTTATTTTTATTTTTTCCCTTTTCCTCTGAACCAGATCCTAAAAGGAATTCAATCTTCTGCTCACAATTTTCCCTCGTCCCCTAGCAACTACATCTTTTTGTTATTCGTCTTATTTTGTAGGTCTTTTGAGAAAATCGGCTCAAACTAAGTTAATCTCATCAAATTAAAAAATGGGATATACTCTTCGCCATCCATCAAGCTTGTCTGTTTCTCTCCCGTCACAGAGATCCTCCTCATCCTCTCTTTTATGTCCTCAATTCAACAACTATATAACCACAATAACAAACTGTGGCGGAGTAAGAAAACAGGCGTGACAGAAATACTCAGTATGCGTTGCGCTCAAGCTAGCTGAGTCCAAAAGCCAGCCCTAACAAATATGACTAAAGGGGAGCCTTACACTAGTCGTTCAAGCTCACTCCTGGACTAAGGCTGAGCTCAAAATAACCTGTTATGGGTACACATATCAATCTGAGCACTTCGGCACACAACGTGAAATTTTTCCTTGAAAAACGTTAGGACGCGCTCGATAAAGAAGCCATAATTAAAGCGTTGACACATCATCCTATTTCCAAGAAGTCATTTGCTTTAATAAAAAAAAGTCACGAAATGAGTTTGCTAAAATACGAGTCACATCAACAAATAGCATGATACATCATCCTATTTCTTTTTTTTTTCCTCATTCTATTTATTCTTTTCCCTTCAATTTTCCTCCTTTGATAACCCAATGCGCAGTAGAACTCAAGATCATGGAACCATAATGAAATCTCCCAATCATCCGGATCACCCAAGACCGTAACACATTGTCTTATTTCTTAGTTTCAAGAAGTGAACTAAACAAAGGAAAGGTGACACGAACACTACGTCTTTTGAGATTTCCACCCTTTACTATAAAAATATGGAGTAACCAAACAGTAATTTAACAATCTAGATTTAACACGCAATGTGGGATTGGATTTAACACGAGCTAGATCAACTAATAAACTTGCTGAAAGTTCAGGTTAGAATATTGAGAATTTTAGGTTGGGTATAAATTAAGGCATACAAGATGGCCAGCGTACATCCAGAATCAAATGAATACTTGGACGAAACCAATCTGTCAGGAATTATGAAAAATTTGAAGGGGGTAAAATAGGTAATCAAAAATTTTGACACTCATATTCTCTTTTTATAAATAGTATAGATATAGATATTTCTGATCCTCTCCATAAATACAACGTCGGGTTACTTACATCTCTATCAGATTAAGCCTTCATAACTAAGAACCAGATTAACAAAGTGATTTAAGCAAAATAATTGTCACTGGTGAGACAGAATAAGGAAAGATTTCTTCCTCCCCCTTTTTACTGTATCATTCAGTAAGAAACAGGACTGAATCAAGTAGCTTGACAGAACCTCAATCAATAAACCCAAAATATTGAGGTTCCTTCGCTCTCAGAAAATCAAATCTCTCCTTCAAGACTAAATTTCTTTAGCATAAACAGCATCTCACTGAATACATGTCTCTTCATGATTATCAACAAAAACCACCAGAAAATACTATTCACTATTGCTATGCAGTGACAGCAACAGGACCAACCATTCTTCCGTTGCCGTTACCATTCTGAACAGGTCGGTGGTGATAACCATCTCTGGTATTATTGGCAGGCAGACCACGGCCCCTACCACGGCCTGAAAACTCTCCACCACGATTCTTGAATTCTGTTCTTCCGTAGCCCTGACTGTTGCCTCCAAAGCTGCCGCGGCCTTGGAAGTTCCCATTTCCATTTCCTCTGAAGTAATCATTATTCCCTCTGAAGTTATCATTCCCTCTGAAGTTGTCGTTACCTCTGATGTTATCATTATTGCCTCTGAAGTTACTGTTACCTCTAAAGTTGTCATTTCGAAACCCACCCCTTGTTTGTGAAAACCGCCCTCTCCCGTTGCTGACAACAACTCCGTTAACAACTGAAAAATAAAGAAGCGCGTTAGTACTAAATTGTAACCCTCCACCCTCACCACCACTTCGGAGTCTCAAACATGATATCAGAGAAATCCAAGTTCAAAGCTAGCATGAATTTAAAATGGATTTTACAGAAATAGATATTGCCTTGTAAATCCAGATTTCAGCCCCAAAATATCATCCTGCAGGGGCATGAAAGAGTATAAATTATAACCTTCAGCCCTCACCACACCTTCGGAGTTTTGATACATTGGAAGAGTCTTTAAACAAAGTGATTAGTCTTTTATCGGTGTCAAATACGAGCACCTCAACATCCTCATGCTAGAATTGGAGGGATTAGTAATATAGTAGTTGACCTTGGTTTTCTCGTGGTCGAAACTAGTCTCTTGATTAAGTAATATGGCTGGAGTCATCAGTGTTGTATTTTTTCACAAGATTTACAGTAGTTTTAAACAATTTTGTGGTATTCACAGTTTCTGCTATCTTCTCATATCAATTCAATTAAATGCTGTTACTCTGAAGTTTAAATTTATCACGCAAGCTTGAAACTTTGGAAATAATACCCATCAACAAAGGAAGAGAGACCATAATTGATCTTCTAGTTCTGTTCTTTTGTTGTTGTAGCCTTGCTAGTGGATGTTGACAATGAAGGATTATCATTACAACTGAAAACCATAAACCCATCATGGAGGGGTTTGATAGTATTAGAGGCAACAGGAACACTGATGCTGTAAATTTCAGATGCTTATACTATCGCTTGTTAATATTATTGAAGGGTCCTAGCAAAGTAATTATTTCATCATCCAGATTTATCAACAATAATAACATGATAGAAAAAGTCCATGCCAGCAGAAAAAGCTTTATGGCTTTATCCCATAAGCCAGAGTCAGAAATGTAAATTAAAATATACCACTACTTATACAGCTTCACTTGGATAAAAGCATCAAACTGTAATCATCAAACTCAGTTGGAAATTTAGATAAACAATGGCAGCATATATTATTCTTGATGATATCACTAATGAAGCCTTTTGCAATCAAGTGAGAGCACAAAACAATCATGACCGCAATCAACATAAAATCTTTCACCGATTATAAGAAATATAAGAACATTAGACTTACCATGAAAATACATGCCTAATGAGTGACTAATTTGCTACATAACTATGAAGGAAGAGAAAGAGCAAGACAAAAAAACTTGCCTCGCGTGCTGGTTCTCTTTTCCTCAATAAATGAGGAGCAGCCAGAAATGGTGATAGGTGACGCCTGAAAATCAAACCATAAACCATTATGCTAGTAAGTTGGATAAACAATATCAGGAGAAAGTGCTGGATGAAAATTAACCCTAAAAACATCGAAAACAAAGATTTAGTGCTTTCTAAATGTATCAAGAAATTTTTCTCCCAAGCATTCTTTCTTCAGGGGAATGAGATGATCGATATCATGTAGGAACTAATGCAACATGTCATAAAACCAAATCATCATATGACCATGTCTAACTCCACTAAGTTTAATGATCATGAGGTTGTACTTAACCAATTCAGGCAACTTGTTAAAATTATTTGTATGATCTCCTTGGGTATAAAATTTTTTTGTTAAATGTAATTAAGGTTGATGTCAATGTTGGAAATAATGATATCGCAAAATATAACACTCTATCTCATGTTAAGGGTCAAAGGAAAAAGCACAAAAAAAGTAACGTGTAATGTAAGTTATTTTTTATTAGTTACATACATATTTTATAAGTAAAAACTATTCATAATGACTTTAATAATTAGAATTATCAAAATTTTCAAACATAACTCAAATAGGAATGAAATAGTTTTTCTGTTTAATTTCAAATACTATAAAAGATGTTCATATTTATTTTAAGAATTAGAAATAAAATATCATAATACAAAAAAATTTCAATAAAAATTCTTTAATTTAATACAACCTACATAGATTTTCTAGAAAGTGTCACAATCAAATCAAATACTCAAATATATAATCATAAATTTATAGCTCGTGCATGATTACATAATTTACATTTGTTTTAACAGTGATATTCATAATTTCACAATCATGCAATTATGTCACCACAACAAGAATGAAGGCTAAACAAGCAATTCATAAGTAATAACTTAAGTTTTAAGAAAGGATATACTAGCAAGTCTCTAGAACTTATATTGAAGTAATGTAGGTTATATTGAAATAATGCATGTTATAATGAAATAACACAAGTAATATTGAATAACGCATATCATATTGTAATAAAGTAGAGTTATAATATGTCTTTCATGAGGTTACGTGCCAATGTTACATTAAACGCTAGGCGCTCCTAGGCGCCGGACTTGGCGCCCAGCGCTTAGACGCTTAGGCGGGCGCCTAAGCGGTTTCTGGGCGGTTTTTTTCTTTTCTTTTTTTAATTGTGATACTTGAAGAGATATATATATATATACTCAATCAACATTGCATAAATACAAAAATACCAACACATATGCTATCCAAACTTATTATTGTTCTATTTTGTAGGTCAAAAACAGCAACTTCATTCGTTATTGCTGCAACTATCACTACAAGGTGAATGCGGTGATCCATGTACAGTTGTAAACTTGTAATCTTTGAACAAATGCAGTTGTAATCTTTGAACAAATGCAGTCCTGTTGGACAAATGTAAACTTTGAAGTTTGAACAAATGCAGTTGTAATCTTTGAACAAATGCAGTTGTAATCTTTGGACAAATGTAATCTTTGAACAATTAAACTTTGAACAACCTTGAACAACAAGAATTACTTATAAACTTAAAATGAACTTAAAATTAAACTTAAACAATTAAACAGCCCCATGATTACATATTTACACTTTCTCTTTCAAAATTCTGAGATTTACAGTTTAAACTTAAACAATTAAACTTAATATAATATAAATATATTAAGTTAACATTTAATAAAAGTGGATTAATGTGTGAAAACATCGTTAATGTTGCATAATCTTGCATAATCTGTACATGTTTACGAGGTTTAAACATGAAGTTGTGTAATACAAATCCAAAGTTATCTGTGCAAATAAAAAAAAGGGGGGAAATCCAAAATATCCAAAGTTATCTGTGCTAAGCGTCTTTAGTCCTTTACTTACAGAGGAGATGAAGACGAACTTGAATAAGAAGCTCCCAGTTGAAGACGAACTCGTAGACGAAGCTCCCAGTCGAAGACGAAGCTCCCAGGCAGTTTCGAAGACGAACTTGAAGAGTGAAGACCAATTCGAAGACGAACTTGAAGACAAACTCGAAGATGAACTCGAATACGAGCTCGAAAGTTGAGCTCGAACTCGAAGACGAGCTCCCAGGCAGGATCGAAGACGAGCTCGACGAGATTGAAGACCAGATCCCGGTTGAAGACGAGCTCGACGGGATTGAAGACGAGCTCGACGGGATTGAAGATGAGATTGAAGACTGGCGGCGTGGAGAGAGTGATATTAGGGTTAGTTTTCTTCTTCTTTTTTTGCGTTTTGGGTTACGGGTTTTAGGTTACGGGTGAAGAGCCGACGTTTTTTTTTTGAAATAGTGAGGCGGGCCGCTTAAGCGGCCCGTTTAGCCTTGGGCGGCCGCCTAGGCGCTTCCAGCACCTAAACGTGGCCGCTCAGGGCATTTCTGCACGCCCTGAGCACCGCCTCCGCCTAGGCGGGCGCCTAGGCGGCCGCCCAGGCCGTTTTTTAGAACACTGTTACGTGCCATTTAAAGCTTGTTAGGTTTCATAACGCAGCATAACGAGTTATATAACGGGTTTTTTAGACAATGATTGATGTTATTCTAATGAAATATTAAAAGGAGATTTTGTTATTTGTCATTTTATTACATCATGGAATCCAGCATAAATTACTTGCCAAATGGCTGCACAATCCAACAGGATACAATTTCTACTAATTTGAACTGACACATCAGGAGAAGCAACAAATCTAGGAATTTTTACCCATGGCATAAACAGCATTAACAGATTTACCGTTGAATGTATACTCCTATAAGTGGGTTTAGCTACAACGATCCTGAAACACAACATATAAGTATGAACAGTCAACAGTCCTATAAGTGGGTTTAGCTACAACACTCCTGAAACACAACATATAAGTATGAACAGTTAACAGTGGAAAATCATTTTAACAGCATATTGTCATATTATATTTACAGTATGTAAAAGGGAAAGAACATGAATCTGGTGGGAAAAAAATTATGCAATATCTAATGGTATGGTGAGCACTCTATTCTTCACCTTGAAGGATGCCATATTATCAATCAATTGAAGATGCTTTTAAACACAATGTCAAAAAAATTCAACATCTACTTGGACCGAGGGAAATGGAAAGCTACATAGGGTTTCAATTTCAAATGCATAATGTCTCCTTTGTGGAAATTTTACAGGGTGTTTCATGACTAGCCTTTTACCATGATACATTATTCTTTAATGGCACCGTCAAGCTTAAAACAGAAAGTTATAATATTTTATTAGATTAGCTGAAGGATCCTTCAAGGGATATTGTCGATTTACATAAAGGAATGAATACACTTCATTTGTGAAGGTCAAAAATCAGAATAACATTCCAAGAAAGAATTTGTTTTAAAATACTGGCGTTAGCAAGATTACAAGTTGCCATAGGTGCTTTTAAATTTGATTAAAATGACACTATAAAACCTTCAAATAAAGCAGGATATGTATGAAGCGGAACTCTAAAGAAAAACTTGAGAACTGCAATGTATTATACCTTAATCGCAGCTTGCATAGAGTCCAGCGACTCAAATTCAACAAAGCCATAACAAAAGTTGTCAACCTACAAAAGCAGAAAGGAAGTAGGAGGAAATAAATAACTTTTGTCATCTAATGATAGAAACAAAATATGACCCTGACTACACCCAACAAACCTTATGGTTTCTGACTTGGACACCACCAGGCTTAATAGGTCCAAATTTCTTCAGTTCTTCCTCAACTATTTCCACGGTAGCATTTGAAGGTAAATTCCGAATGTGTATAGAATAACCTTCCACTGATGTGAGGAAAATATAAGAATGTTAACGAGATTACAGAATCAAAGCACAATAACATTCAAAAGAGTTTTCACACACCATCAAGAGGGTTGTTCTCAGAGTAGCTGCTGCTTCTAGAGACCTTTGGATCTGATGCAGTGGCAAGCACACTGGAACCATTGATCGACTTCTCAGTGCTTGGAGGGGCAGCCTTTGCCTTTGGCTTAGCAGGAGCAGAGATTTTCTTCGGTGGGGTGCTGCCCACAACCTTAACCTGCCATTTCATATCATAAGGTACCCCAAGTCAATACCATATATTCTTATAAACTGTTGTGGCTTAACAAGTATAAGAGAACTGACCATTAGGACACAAAGGTAAGAACGTGCTTTTTATCCTTGAAAAAGAGAACCTTTATGGTTCCCCCTGATATTAACAGATGACAACTAGAATCTTTCAAAATTAATATTTCGCTTCTCCTAATTTAGTTAAACCAAAATAAAATCCAAACAAGACGGCTGAAAAAACACATTCCTTTTAAATGGAAAATTAATTTCTTGCTTTCTTCGAACTAAATATATTTCAAATAAACTGAAAATTTATGAATACTATATAGAATGCTAAAAACTGGAAGAGAGATTTTATGATTTATATTCTGGAAAGAAAGATATAACCATTATAAAACAAATTTCCTTACAAACTTAAAGAGCACATTCTATTTAATATAGAAGGATCAAGTAAAATAAGTCCTTCGATAATTGCAAATGTTATGTTATTTTTCTACATAAAAGCAATAAGATAAAAACTTCAACTCACTATGGACGCATAAGACTTCTTAGGGCCATCATCTTCAACCGACGCAGAAGCCAACTTGTGATTTGATTGGTCACTAGATTTACTTTGAGGGATTGGGGAAACTACAGAAGTTTCATCTTCAACCCCTGATGCACAACTTTCTGAAGGGTTGACTGCTTCCTTTTGATTGGCAAGATCCCCCTCCAAAGCCTGAGTTGTAACATCTTCAGAGTGATCATCTTTAACCAAACTCGAGTCTGACATGTGAAATATGTCATTAAAACCCAATAGTATAACGTCAAAGAGTGTACAAATTGGATTGTTTGCTACCTGATAAAGCAGTAGAAGAAGCTTTAGGTCCATCATCATTGTCATTGCTGGTTAAAATCTGATTTGTTTCCCCCGTTTGGCGAAGATCCACAAATCTAAAAATATCATTTAGAACAAAATAACCATTGTTGTCCTGGGGAGCAAGGAAGAATGACTGAGTAAACTTCCGCCGAACATTGTCACTAGCAGTCAAGCAACCGGTGACAACAATGAAAACCCCCTCATTATAAGATTGTAGCGAGTCAACAGTTTCTATCTCTGCAATATAGCTGTTAAATTTGAAGGACAAGACCTTCTCGTCAATGTCCTGGTCAACCATTACAGAAAAGGGAAACATTAGTATACACAATCCAATCAGGCATCCACTAGTTACATATCAGAAACTGTGGAAAAAAATTGCATTAACCGAACAAAGGTGAATAATTCATGCCTCAAACCTAAGATAAAAGGAGAAGACAGTATGCTCCAGGATTTATTCATCTTTAATGGAAGATGCTTAGGAGAACAGAGCATAAAGAAAGAAAGGAAATTATAACTGCAAAACATACTTTTAAAGTTGTTACTTCTGACATTCCACCATCAGGATCTGGGCGACTTATAATGCTAGAGTCATGATAAAATTTATATACTTGTTCTGGTCTCTTATGAAGAACATGGTAATATTGTTGAACAAAGGCAGCACCAATCTGAGGAAGAAATTGCCAAGAAAACAGAGTGGTAAAAACAAAAAGTAGAGAGTATAAATAAAGAGACTTGGTAAAGCAACAATGTGTACCACTTGTGGCGTCCGTTGAGAAGCAGGAGTTGCAGTTGGCAAGGCCATACCTGCAGGTAGGAGTTCCATGAGAGGGTTTGATAAGAAATATCTATCTTAATACTATCGTACAGTTGTAATAAGCACAACAAATTATAGGAGAGGTGAATTTAGAGTGTGCAGTAAGTACATAACCAAGCAAAAGATACAGAAAAAAATGAATAGCAGAATATAAGAAAGAAGGCAGAGATCAGCAATAAAATTCAGTTAAACACGCAATTGAGATCAAATTGGCATCTTACAACAACCAAGTCACATTAAATAAAATAATAGGTACTGAATAAATAATTATTTAAAGACTCGGACCTAAATTATATATCCAAGTGAAAATAGTACCTGAAACAGCAATAGTTTTCCTTCAGCTCTTATAACCTGTAATATAAAGAGGTAAAGTCCCTGTCTCTTTCATCTACTCCACACATTCACTTAATCCGACAAGAGCGAACTCTGTTGGGCTGAGGTCGTGAATGTGGCCAAGGCTTAATCAGTGACAATTTGGTATCAAAGACAATCAAGAGTCACAGGAAATCTTGTCCAACACAGACTACCCTTTCTTCCCAACTTTTTTTTAACCTTTGATCAAGCATCTTCTCTAATGGCAATAAAGATCCACTATTGAGTCGGGACTTCATCTGATATGGTTTTAAGTGTGATGTAACCCAGGTGAATTTTAGTATCATCGGAAGGGCCAGTGTGTTGGTCATCAGTCCCATCTTAGTCTCCACCATGTACGGTCGAAAAAAACAAACTAGCTTTAGCGGTTAGAGAATCCACTGAAAGTTCAAAATCCTCCTCAATGATAGAATCTAATAGGGAATTCTATTTCTCGGAGGCTGAGCTCTGACCACGTACACAATCTCAAACTCACCAGTGTCAGAGATAGGTACAGATGTGGAACATTTCCCTGTAGTTTTGTGCTTCTCCTAAATTCCACTTGACATTGTAGGTCACAGGCCTACGTTGGTCTGGGCTTGCAGTTAGCACATGACCAACTCCCTAACAGCATTTGTTAGAGACATAGGAGAATTTACTCTCGTTGATAGAGGGAAGAAACCCAAACCTCTAATAAACCCATAATTTATTTTTCATTGAGTTAATGTAAACTGAGAAGACCCTAATACAGCATTGTGTTTCCGCAGGTTCGACACCCCCAATGGTTGATTTTGCACTAAACTTGTACCAACCGAACACTACAATGCCAGTGCAACCTCTTTTGTTTTTCCTAAGCCAGTTCCGGGTGACACTGAAGTATGTGTGACCAACTGCCCCGTTCACTTGCAACCCCAAAAAGATGGGACTGACTGATGATATTTGTCAGATACATATCAGTGTTCATCCCTAATATCTAGATGTCAAAGAGAATCCAAAGCTCAAACAGAGCCAAAGTTGATTTTGTTAAAGACAATAGAACCATAAACTAACAAATATTATGAAAGCATTTTGCAGGAATTCGATAAATAAAATATCATATTAGCCAGCCAGAGAAATACACTCAGCCACAGGTCATTCAAGCATTGAAATCCATACTTAGAAATCGAGCACATAAGTGAGAAGCAAAAAAGAAATGATTTTGACTATTGCCCACCAAAGAAAATAGCTCAAGGACAACAAAGAAAAGAAAAATAAACAGATGGAAAGGCAACGCAAAAAGCTTAGCACCTATTAACAGAAAAGGGTCAAAAAAATCAACAAGGCTAAACCTTTACCTACCCTATTTGAGGATCCAAGAGGGAAAAGAAAACCCATAATATAAAAAACCTAAAAAGGCCTAGAAAATCTTGTTAAGAGTGGAAAAAATCCAAATTAAAAAAAAAATAATACATGAACATGTAATCGACAATGTAAGTAAGAAAAGAGAAGAGGAAGGTCAGGAATCTTACCCCCTTTGAAACAATGGAAGAGGAGATGGCCGATCGAGCAGAGAGAGAGGAAAGTGAAGCTAGGGTTTTGGGGTTATAAACAAATGGGGGAGGGAGAGGAAGCGACTGCTGCAAAAGGACACGCAGGGGAGGGTTTTGGGGACCATAAATATTATATTCAATTAATATTGACCGTCTGTTTTATTCACAGACGACCGTCTGATCTTCACACATGTTTCGTTTGAATAACAAAAGAAAGGAATTAATTTCACAAAGCCCCCTGAACCTTTGTCGATGTTGCATATAACCCCTTAAACTTTGTTTATCTCACATAACCCGTGAACTTTGTGATGTTTCACAAAATCTCCTAAACCTTAACCTTATTGTCACCTGATACTGTTAAAATGTCTTCGAGAGAGCAAGTTCAAAACGTTGTCATTTAGCATTTACAAGCAACATACCTTCCCCCAAATTTTAGAGTTTTCTCTCAATAAATTTTTAGCTATTTGCAAATTACATGAAGATGGTTTGGTGAGAAAAATTCAAAGTCCAGGGGGATTTTGTGAGACACCCCAAAGAATAGGGGTTATGTAAAATAAATAAAGTTTATTAGAGTTACATGCAACACCCTCCAAAGTTTGTGGTTTGTGAAATTAACCCTAAAAGAAACAAATATGTGTTACATCTTGATGCTATAGTGTAATTATACAAGTAACCTTGTAGTGTATGCAGACACGAGTCACCGAGAGATTAGTCATTGCAATAACATGGGTAACGCTAAAATCTAATTATAAATAAATATCGTTGTTTTTTACTAATGTGCATAGTTCGCCGGATTGAAAATATTTTGAGGGTAAGTCCATTGGTAGTGATCATTTTTTCGTTCATTGGTTCTTCGGTTCAGTTGGTTTAGGTAGTTATTTAGTTTAGACTTTTTCTTGAGTCATATGTGACTTTTTTCTAGACAATGATATAAATTTTCTTTATTACCCTTCCCCTTCGTGGATAGTTATGAACTCGTAGTTAGACTCGTCCTTTTGTAGATTTCTTCATTTATATATTTATTTTATTGTCTTAGTTGCATGTTCTATGATGTAGTTTTGGTTTTATATCTATATACATTATGATCTAGAGGCATGAATGTGGCTGAATGGTTGCATTGCCGACCGAGTCACGTTCCAAGTTATTACATTATGGAACTGGAGCATGACAAGTTTTTATTAGTATGAGAGTCAGGTTTAGTAATTGTTGTCTCGTCCTGTATACAAATAAAAAAATAAGATTGGGCAAAAAATAGAACATGTATAGAATGGGTTCTTTCCTTTTCAGAAATATGTCCTTTGACTCCTAATACCCTAATTCTCAAGTCCTAATCTTGACCAATCTCATTTTAGGTGATCGCTATGGCCCAAAAACGTCAACCCTCTAATCCAGTTCTCCTTGAGGGACACCAAGTCGATCAGGTTGATCTTGTAGAAGCGATTAGAGAGCTGGTAGCTCATAATCGCCAGAGGGATGGGTAGCAGCAGGTTGTAAGGCCAGGTAATGTGTCCGATTTTCGGAACCTCAACTCGTAATACTTTGCTGGGACTGAATGCGAATATGAGGCCGAGATGTGGTTGCATACCATGGACCGCCTATTAATGACAGTAAAGATACCAGATGAAGACTGGGTGGATATTGTATAGCTGCAGCTCATTAATGTAGCCAGGACCTAGTCGGATGCAGAGGAGGAGAAGCTACCTAAGCTGATTTCATAGGAGACATTCCGAGAGAGTTTCCTAGAGATATTTTTCCCGAAGACAGCTCATGCAGAGGTAGTTTGTAATGCTGGGACAAAGAGCTAGTACTGTAGATGAGAATGCAGCAGAATTTGCCAAGCTCAGCAGGTTTGTCAGGGATGGTGTCGAATGAGGTGGATAATAGGTTCATGCAGGGTCTAAATTTTTAGATCTAGAAGTAGATTTATAGTCATAAGGGGATTGAGACTTTTGTTGATCTCCTAGAGCCAACTCAAAAAGCAGAACAACTAATTGGGATCTTGAACTTAGTGAGAAGAGGGGCAAACAAGCGCCTTACAGGACAAACCTTGGGGGTAACCAGCAGAAGCCTTAGGCCGGAGGAGGATCAGCCAAGCGCCAGCAGACAGAGACTTTGAGACCAGATCCACAACCAACCAACATGATTTGCCATTTTTGTAACAAGTCGGGGCACTTGATGAAGAACTACAGGAGAGCTAACAGGTTGTGCCTAACATGTGGGGCAGCAGATCATCAGCTTGCCACTTGTCCTAGTAGAGGAGTTTTAGGAGGAGCTTTAGGTGGAGTAATAGTACCAGCATGTTAGGCTAGATATGGTGGACAACAATGGAGGTTGTCACTTCCTACTCAGCAATAGATGTTCCGAAGACATCAGAGTGGTCAATAATTTCAAGGCCAGAGACAGTGGAGAGGTCCTCATTTCCAGCACCCATACCAGCCACAATATCAGCAGAGGCTCCCAGGGTAATACGGTCAGCAAGCTCAGTAGCGACAGAGACAAGGCCAGGTTTTGACACTTACTGCTGAGTAGGCAGACACATCTAGTGATGTAGTCACATGTACCTTTTTGGTTTTGACACTTATCGCTGAGTAGCTCAGTTCATTGCACGACATACCATAACATGTGATAGATTAGAGGCAAGCTAGAATATCCATACAGATAGCAGGGTGTTAATGTGTAGTAGGGAGTGTAAGAAATGCCCAATAGTAGTTTGTGGTAGGGAGCTATTTGCAGACTTATTAGTGATTGACACTAACAGGTTCGATGTTATTTTAGGGATGGATTAGCTCTACAACTTCCATGCGACTATCGACTGTCAACGCAGAAGCATAGTGTTAAAGATACCAGATCACCCAGAGTTTGAATTCATGAGCGGTAGCAAAGTGATGGAGTAGCTAGAGTATCAAGCAAGCATGGATGCAGTATTAACCTAGATAGAGGTAGAGGAGAAGCCCATACTAGAAATTTTTGAGGAGTTCCTTGATGTTTTCCTTGATGAGTTGTCAGGTTGCCACCAGATAGAGATATAGAGTTCGTCATCAATCTTATTCCAGGGGTTTCACCTATCTCAAAACCACCTTATCGGATGCCGATAGTAGATGTAGAGGAGTTGTGAAAGCAAGTCTAGGGGTATCTCAATAAGAAATTTATTAGGCCTAGTACGTCACTTTGGGGAGCACCAGTGGTGCTAGTGCCAAAGCCGGATGATAGTTGAAGGATGTGTATTGACTATAGGGAGTTCAATCAGGTTACCATAAAAAATAAGTACCACATTCCTAGGATTGATGATCTTTTCGATCAGCTTGGAGAAGCTAGGGTGTTTTCTAAGCTGGACTTTAGGTCAGGCTATCATCAGGTGAAGGTAAGGAAGGAAGACATATCCAATGCTGCATTTCGCACACGGTACGGGCATTATGAGTTCCAGGTGATGTCGTTCAAAGCAACAAACACTCCATCTACATTTATGAGCTTGATAAACAAGGTGTTTTCTCAGTATCTCGACCAGTTTGTGGTGGTGTTTATCGATGACATCCTTGTATACTCTAAGACCAAGGAAGATCATGCAGAGCATCTACGGACTGTGTTGGAAATCATGCAGAAGGAGAAGCTCTATGGAAAATTGAACAAGTGAGTTTTGGCTAGAGCAAGTGTCCTTTTTAGGATATGTGATTTCAGGAGCAGGTATCTTTGTAGACCAAAAGAAGGTTGATGTGGTGTTAAGGTTAGATCTTCCTACATCTGTGATAGAAGTACAAAGTTTCTTAGGGATGGATGGATACTACAGGAAATTTAAAAACAATTTCGCTAAGATTGCAGGACCACTTACTAGGCTGACGCGAAAGGAGGTCAAGTTTGTGTGGGCTTAGGACTGTCAAGCAGCATTTGAGAGGTTGAAGAAGAAGTTGATGACAACACTAGTGTTGACAATCCCGGATGAGTCAGGAGGATTTGTAGTGCACACAGATGCTTCCAGTGATACGAGTCGCCGTGTGAGCATCTTTGATCGCGAAACTATCAAAGGTGGGTTGAGAAGAGGATGAAAAAAACACAAGAATAATTTAGTATGTGACAAAGGAAAATACCATCTCTAGATTATGAATATGAAAAGATTACAATCCCTCTCTCACAATCTTACTAGAATTGAGAACAAATTCTTAATTCTCTATAAACCCTAATCTTTCTTGATTAAAATCTCTCTTTGGTTACATCTGATTGATTAGAAACCCTAAAACAAATCCCTTATATAGGTGTAACAACGCAGATGACAAAGTGGTAAATAACCAAACCCAAACCCCACATGAATTCGTGCAAACAGAAACCCAAACAAACCAGGAAACCGTCAATGGGTCAACTCATGTGCATATATGAGTCTACTCATGACACATGGGTCAACTCATGACAGGCATGAGTCGACTGGTCAGAAACTTTTGACAAAACGGCTGGGTTTCGTGAGTTGACTCATGACAGGCATGAGTTGACCCATGTGCATGTATGAGTCGACTCACAGGCTAAAAACTGGATGCTTCGATTCTTTGATTTGCCGTCTCGTTTCAAGCTTCGACCTGCATTCCACTGTGTTATTTTACACCTCTATTCTCAAGTTATCATGAGAATCATCTATCCTCAAGCTCTCATGAGGATCGCTAAGTTCCAAAGAGAAGATACACCTGTATCATCCGGTTTGGGTTTAGGTTGTGTCCTGATGCAACATGGGACGTGTGGCGCCCTTGGTTTCATACAAGGTTACAGTCTAAGATGAACCTAATGATGTCAAACCTGTCATGCACCCATACTGTGCAACAACATGTTTTACCATCATGGTAATATCTCTCTAGTGGAATCAAATACAAGAAGTGTAGGTACAGAGAAGATAGAATAAGATAATAATGCAATGAACATGATAAAGGAAATGAGAGATCCAAATAACCATAATCATGTTCCAACTGAATGAAAGAGAATACAACTGATAAAGTAAAATAAATGTAAAATATCTTAATACATAGAGTCAAATAAAATAGTACTAAGGCATTCAGTCTTTACAAAATAAAATAAAACTCTAAATGTCTAAAAATGAACAATATATAATGTGGAGCACTGATATACTACT